ACCTCATTGAAGAATTCCACCAAACATTTGAAGATGAATTAATACTAATCTCCTCAAACTCCTCCACAGAATTGAATAAATACTCCTAAACTCATTCTATGAAGCCAGCATTACCCTGATACCAAAACCAGACAAAGACAGTACAAGGAAAGGATATACAGACCAATATTCCTTATGAACACTGATACAGAAATTCTATACAAAATACTAGCAAACTGAGTTCAACAGTACATTAAAAAGATCATCTACCATGATCAAGTCATATTTATACTTGGGGTACAAGGATGGTTTAGCATATGAAAATCAATGTAAAATAAATCACATTAACAAGATGAAGGACAAAACCTACATGATTACATCAATCAGTGAATAAGAAGCATTTGACAAAATTCTTTATGATAAAAACAGTCAACAATCTAGGAATAGAAGGAAATTACCTCAACATAATAAAAGCCATATATGGGCCAGGCCAGGTGCAGTGGCTCACTCCTGTAATTCTAGCACTCTGGGAGGCTGAGGCAGGTGAATCGTTCAAGGTCAGGAGTTCGAAACCAGCCTGAGCAAGAGAGAGACCCTGTCTCTACTATAAATTGAAAGAAATTAATGCGCCCCTAACTAAAATATACAGAAAATTAGCGGGCATGGTGGCACATGCCTGTAGTCCAACTACTTGGAGGCTGAGGCAGTAGGATTGCTTGAGCCAGGAGTTTGAAGTTGCTGTGAGCTAGGCACACAGTGAAACTCTGTCTCAAAAAAAAAAAAAAAAAAAAAAAAGCCATATATGAAAAGCCCACAGCTAATATCATACTCAATGGTGAAATACTGAAAGCCTTTCCTCTAAGATTAGAAGCAAGGCAAGGATGCCCATTTTCATCACTTCTATTATTATTATTATTATTTTTTGAGACAGAGTCTCACTTTGTTGCCCAGGCTAGAGTGAGTGCCGTGGCGTCAGCCTAGCTCACAGCAACCTCAAACTCCTGGGCTCAAGCAATCCTACTCTCTCAGCCTCCCGAGTAGCTGGGACTACAGGCATGTGTCTCTATGCTTGGCTAATTTTTTTTTCCTATTTTTAGTTGTTTGGCTAATTTCTTTCTGTTTATAGTAGAGACAGGGCCTCGCTCTTGCTCAGGCTGGTTTCGAACTCCTAACCTCGAGCAATCCGCCTGCCTTGGCCTCCCAGAGTGCTAGGATTACCGGTGTGAGCCACCGTGCCCCGCCCATCACTTCTATTTTTAAAAGAGTATTGGAAGTCATACACAGAGGAATTAAGCAAGAAAAGGAAATAAACAGCATCCAAATTGGAAGGAAAGAGGTAAAATAATCCCTTAACAGGTAATATGATCTTATATGCAGAAATCCTAAAGATTCCACAAATAACTGTTACAACCAATGAATAATTTCCAGCAAAGTTGCAGGGTACGAAATCAACACATAAAAATCAAGTGCATTTCTTTTTTGTTTATTTTTTGTTAAGTGTACAAGTGTTTTGATTACATAGATATCTTGTATAATGCTTATATCAGGGCTTTTGGTGGGCCCATCACCAGAACGGTGTTCATTGTACCCAACAGGTAAGTTTTTTTTTTTTTTTTTTTGAGACAGAGTCTCGCTTTCTTGCCTAGGCTAGAGTGAGTGCCGTGGCATCAGCCTAGCTCACAGCAACCTCAAACTTCTGGGCTCAAGCGATCCTCCTGCCTCAGCCTCCCGAGTAGCTGGGACTACAGGCACGAGCCACCATGCCCGGCTGATTTTTATATTATATATATTAGTTGGCCAATTAATTTCTTTCTATTTTTATAGTAGAGACGGGGTCTCGCTCAGGCTGGTTTTGAACTCCTGACCTTGAGCAATCCGCCCGCCTCGGCCTCCCAGAGTGCTAGGATTACAGGCGTGAGCCACCGCGCCCGGCCCCCAACAGGTAAGTTTTTATCACACACCCACCCTCTTGCCCTCCCCATTTGTTGGTTTCTCCTGTCTTTTATGTCGCTATTTAAAATGGTTCATGTTTACATGCACGAAGCCATCAACACAATCAAGATAGTAAGCAGTTCCATCACCCCAAAAAGTTTTCTCCTGCTGTTTTGTAACCTATTCCTTCCTCCACCCTGATCTAGGCATTTTCTAGAATTTTATGCAAATATTATAAAGTATGTCTTTATGTATGAGGCTTTTTAAATTTCAGCATAATATTCCTGACATTCATCCATGTCATTGCATGTATTAGTAGTTTATTCTTTGCTATTGCTATGAAGCATTCCATTCTATGAGCATACTATGGTTTATTTATTCTTCTGTTGATAGATATCTGATGTTTTCAGTATTTGGCTACCACAAATAGAGCTCCTACATGTATCCATAAATATTTGTGTAGACTTATATTTTTATTTCTCTTTAATAAATAGCCAAGAATAGTTTCTCTGGGACATATGGAAGGTGTATATCTAAGTTTATAAGAAATTGCCAAACTTTTTTCCAGTGTAATTGTACCATTTTACCTTCCCATCAGCAATGTACAAGAGTTCCAGTTGCTTGACATCCTGGCCAACACTTTTAGCCATCCTAGAAAGTTTGTATTTGGATTTCCTTGTTGTTTTAATTTGCATTTCCCTAATGACTAATGGTGTTGAGCATCTTTCTTATGTTTATTAGCCATTCATATTTCTTCTTTTGTGAAACATCTGTTCACATCTTTGGCTCATTTTTATTTGGGTTGTTCATCTCATTGTTGAATTATAAGATTTCTTTCTGTGTTTGGGCATAAGAGCAGGACAGCTGGAAATGAATTCCCTTCATTGTCTTTCATTTGAGAATTTTCTTATTTCGCCTTTATTTCTAAAAGATATTTTCATGGGCTATAGAATTCTGGGTTGATAAGCTCTTTTTTTGTAGTACTTTAAACATGTGGTTTTGCTATCTTCTGGCCTTCATGGTTTATGTTAAGAAATTTATGGATGTCGAGTCATTATTTCCCTCTGTGCAATATGTGCTTGCTTTTCTATAGGTGCTTTCAAGAATTTTAGTTATCTTTGGATTCAGAAGTTTGCTTATTATGTGTCTAGGCATTGTTTTCTTTGTGTTTATTCTGTTTGGAGTTTACTCCATGTCTTAAGTCTATAAATTTATGTCTTTTGCTATATTTGGGGAGTTTGGGGCCATGTTTACTGAATATATTTTTTGTGTTTCAATCTTTGTCCTGTCCCTCTGGGACTCCATTTACACTATGTTAGATCTTTAGATGGGAACACCCAGGTACCTGATACTCTGGGCTTATTTTTTTTATTCTTTATCTCTCTATTTGGTAGATGAGATACATTTTACTCTTTTATCTTCAAGTTTACTGATCCTTTGTTTGATCAACTTCATTCTAGTGTTGAATTTATTGGTGATTTTTTTTCACTTTAGCTATTATATTTTTCAGTTCAATATTTTTCACTTGATTCCTTTTAATATTTTTTGTTTTTCTGTTGAAAATTTCTGTAGGGCACAGTGCAGGGGCACATACCTGTAGGATTACACCTGTAATCCTAGCACTCTGGGAGGCTGAGGTGGGAGGATAGCTTGAGCTCAGGGGTTTGAGACCAGCCTGAGCAAGAGTGAGACCCCATCTCTACTAAAAATAGAAAAATTAGCCAGGTGTTGTGGCACATGCCTGTAGTCCCAACTACTTGGGAGGCTGAGGCCGGAGGACTGCTTAGCCCAGGAATTTGAGGTTGCTATGAGCTAGGCTGACACCATGGCACTCTAGATCGTGTGACAGAGCAAGACTCTATCTGCGAAAAAAAAAAAATACATATATATAAATACTATAATACTAAGTATATACTACGGTAATCATATATACTATATATCTACTATCATTCCATTCAAGTATTTTTTCCCAACCTTATGAAGCATAGATAAAATACCTGCTTTAAAGTCTTTGGGAACTCTCTCTTGCCATTGGCATTTGTTGATTGTCTTTTTACCTTGAGAATTGATTTCATTTTCCTGGTTCTTTGTATGTCAAGATCTTTTTTATTTTCCACAAGATTAATCTTTATTTATTTATTTATTTCAGCATATTATGGAGGTGTCAACAGCTTTTGAATTGTATCTTGTACGACATTGTGAATGTCGTACATTATAGACTTTAGTTCTGTTGTAAGTCTCTGAAGAATGCAAATGTTTTTTGTTTTAGTCAGAAATCAAGTAGGTTATGTTCAAACTATAAGTTCTATCCCACCTTCTATGTTATATGAATTTAAATACACACATAAATATATACCTTTCCACTTAACTTTGGGAATTGCTATATAACAATCAGCAGGAATTCATGGATTTGCTTAGTCTCTTTATCAGCTTAGGATTCTTTCCCATCCCCTCCCCCCCCAATTCACTCAATTCAAGCATAACACCTAATAATAAGAGAAAAACTGTTCCTTTTTAGGTTAGCTTACTAAGAAATGCTTTCTGCAGCTCATTTCTTTCTTTCTTTCTTTTTAGACAGAGTCTTACTCTGTTGCCCTGGCTAGAGTACCGTGGCGTCAGCCTAGCTCACAGCAACCTCAAGCTCTTGGGCTCAGGCGATGCTCCTGCCTCAGCCTCCCGAGTAGCTGGGACTATTGGCATATGCCCCCATACCTGGCTAATTTTTTCTATATATATTTTTAGTTGGCCAATTAATTTCTATTTTTAGTAGAGATGGGGTCTTGCTCTTGCTCAGGCTGGTTTCAAACTCCTAACTTTGAGCGATCTGCCTTCCTTGGCCTCCCAGAATGCTAGGATTACAGGCGTGAACCACCGTGCCCAGCCTATAGCTCACTTTTGACCCTAGCCAGATCAGAAACTTTCCCCAGAGTTTTCTTCCAAGTTTGAATGTTTTTTTCCAGCAAAACTTGAGTTTAGCCTGCCAGATCACTTTTCTACTTTCTCTCTTGTCTTTTTCACTCATACTTCTTAAATCCCATGTTCAATTTACTCAGCCCTCAAGAGTGCAGAATTACCTTTAAACCACGCACCATCAATCATACTCACTAACGTCCTGTCCATATCCAAATCCTGCTCACTTGTCTGGTGTAGACGGCAAAGCCTCCAGTGCAGCCTCTGGTGTGAGGGTGTCTGCTCTGCACAGGTGACTGCACAGGTGCCCTTTGTGCAGTCAAAGGGCACCTGTTGACTGATGCCCTCTCCCTAATGTTGTCTCTGAACACCTAACAGGGACACAACTCAGCATTGTTCCATTTTTATCAAAGTGTTTACTATTTTTTATTCATAACAGACAATCAGATTTGGATTTTGAAAAAGTGCTAAAAATTAAATAATTGATTAAATGCTGGATGCATATAATGGTTTGTTTAGCTAAAATAAATTGCCATAAACTTTACTCTTTCAAACAGAGACCACGGCTCTTCTGCATGCACACTGGAGCTCATGTTTTAATACTTTATAATTAAACATTATGCACTACATATACAGTGAGAAGGCAATATCATTTCAAAATTGTTCCTCAGAGAGGAAAAGAATGATTTTCCATTATGTTCTCATCCAAGCCTTTGCTTCAAGACAGCTGCCGTAGGTCCCCTTGGCAGACACTGAGAGAGTTTGCAAGGAACGTGAGCTATGCCTTTGTCACCCTGTGAAAGAATCCCAATAGTTTTGACATTTCAGAATATATGAAGTTGAAAATTTTACTGCGTATTATGAAAACTATTAAGCCTATAGATCTTCTTTTGGGAATATCTTGCACAAGAGGCTTATTCTGCCATTCATTTTATGCTTATTAGGTGGCTCAGAGGAATTACATTTGCAGAGGACTTCTGAAATTTATAGGAGGAACTACACTGTCAAAGTATTTTTAGAAAATAAAAAAGACTAATATTCAAACAACAATTATCTACTAATATCCTCTCCCAAGTCCTCTTTATATAGGCTCTGGGAGAAGTGCCCAAGAAATATCCTGCAGAATGCAGACCTTCAAGGAGCTAAGAGGGTCTTTGAGGAGCACGTCCAACCTGAGGGAAATGGAGTGGAGCTAAGAGCCATTAAGAGCCACAGCAGGCCCCTAACCAGAGCCATCAGGGCTGCACAGGGCTGTCCAGGAGGGCCAACAAAGGCGTTGGAAGGTGAAGACGTGACTACATACAGTAAAACAGAGACGGGAGCCACACACACTTGACATTTGTGTGGTATTTCTGAAATTTTGAAAAGTATAAGAATTATTAATTTGACAGAGAAAGACACCTTTGATACAACATCAAGAATAAGAGAGAAAACGGTTATCACAAGGTACTAGAAGATGTGCCCACCTCTGTTTTGCCTTTCTTTGTAGTCGAGCTAGGAAAATGACCTGATGCTTCTTATTTGCTTCCTTCGGGCATGAGGAACCATGCTGGCGTGTGCCCATCCCACCAGGAACAAGTGATTCTGAGGCTGATACGTACATAACAAAGTCTGTGGTTGTGAGAAGGGGCCTGGGTGGGGTGCAGGGCAGAGCATCTCTGAGGCAGGGACTGAAGAATTGTCTCCGGTGACAACTCCAAGCAAGTGAGAAAAGCAGGTCACAGTGTGGAAGGGAGTTTACTATGGCTGAAAACACACGGGATATCATGTGACATTTAAAAATATATAACCAGCCATTAAAGGGTTTCCACTGCTAGTGAAGAAAGGAGCATTGCAGGCACAAAGTATTACTTATAAGAAATCTAGTGGGACTTCCTTATCTCTGCATCACTAATTCTCTGGTCTTTTCAAAAAATCATTACCTTTAGAAAACAAAACATACAGCAACTGAAACAATTTGAAGAATACAAAAGAAGTAAAATGTTGATTGAGATGCTGAACTGCTATGTGGTAAAAGCACGCCCCCCCCAAACCTAGCAACGCCTAGAAATGGGGCACACATATTGCTGCGCAGTGAGAGTTTCTTAGCAAGTTAGCCTTGGTTGTAGTCCTATGGGTCATCTCGATGTTCCTCAACCAGGACTCGGTGTTGATCTTGCCATGCTGTGGAGATTAACACTCAAGTCCTGTGCCCATTGGCCAACTCTTCTGCTCATCTGATCTCCGTTCCTCTCAGGCCAACCAGCCAGGATGTCTCCCTTCAGATGCTATCACCATCCTCTCAAACCCGACACATTCAACACTTACCTCACAGTTTCCCTGTGAGGTAAGTCCCAAGCATCTCTCCTGTTCTTGGGACCACCACTCTCACTGTCCCAAATTCCCCACTGAACCTCATGGTCTTTTACCACCTAAAGTAACCTATGACCACAGCCTCTCCTGCTCCCGTACAGTCCTCTGGTCCTCACCCCTGCCCTGGTCACCAGCCACCCCTTAATTAGTCTTGCTCAACCAGCTGACTGAGGCTGCACTCTCGCCATTCTGTGATGTCGCATGCACCACTGCATCACAACACTGCCCTGACAGAGAATCCTGATGCATCCAGGCATTGTGTCTGGTCTTCACTCCACCTGCTTCTTTGCTAGGCTCTCCGATCAGGCTCTGTCCACTCTGTCCTCTCTACCCTCAACCCTGTTACTCCCAACACTGTCCCTGCTTGGAGCTGGGCGGTCTGGACCCACGTGTCTTGCTCCCACAGCCCCTGTCTATGTGCAGCCATGCCTCGGAAGGCACCTTGTGAAAGGGGCTGCCTCACACAAATGCTGCTGCACATTCTGCAAAGCCTCGTACAGTGGCCTCTTTAAGCCTTCCCAAACCTACTTCATGGCACCACAGTTTAGCCCTTGATTTATGTTCTAAGGTAAAAATACAGATGCCTCCTGGCCCCAGCAATTCTAATACAGCATTTTATTTATTTCACCCCATTATCTGGTTCAGACATTAAATTAGTGCTTAATTCATAAGCGTGTGTTGATATATGGATGCTCCATATTCAGTCATGTGTGTATCATTCTCATTACAATGCACCAGTTTAGAGATGGTTGTATAGAAAGACAATATAGGAAAATCAATAATAAATTATATAAGTCGGATTTTAAACTCCAGGTCAAAAACATAGCAGCCTTTGTTTTAATTGTTTATAGTGCCTTTTCTATATTTATCATAAAATATAACATATACAGAAAAAGTTATTGTCACATAAATGCACTGTTAAATAAATAATTTTAAGGTTAACCCTCATATAACCACTATTCCAAGTGCATTAAAGATTCTTAACCACAAGTTTACAGACACTTGCATGAGCTTCAGGTAATTTGTGAAACCTCTATAATTATATGAAAAATTAGAGGCTTTATGCATTTTTCTGGGGAAAAAGAGTTTAGAACTTTTCTTGAAACCTTGAAAGAGCTCCTCTTAAACTTTAAATACTCATTAGAGCAACAGGATAAAGACTTCTGTGACTTAGTATCTGTGCAGTCTGTTTTTCTCTCTGAATATATTATTTTCCAACTTTATTGAGGTATAATTGAGAAATTAAAATTGTATATGTTTACGATATATAACATGAGGTTTTGACATATGTATACATTGTGAAAGGATTACCACATTCAAGTTAATTAACATATCTATCTCCTCACATAGTTATTTTTGTGTGTGTGTAATGAGAACATTTAGGATCTACTGTCTGCAAATTGCAAGTCTACAATATGGTGTTATTAACTGTAGTCACCAAGCTCTACGTTAGATCTTCACCATGGCATCCTTTGTTTCAAGGCCTTTGTCACATAATATTATAAAACAGTATTGGACCCCCTAAAGTATTTTTTCTTAGTGCAAATACTTGATTCGAGGGGTTTAAAACTGGTAGTGGGCAGTCATAGCAGATCTGGCTTTCTTTCTTTGTTCTGTTACTTTTCACTTTGAAGTTTGTGTGATTGCCAACCCACCATCACCCTTTCTTCATCTGGTATGAGTTTTAGAACCACCAGCCTCCTTGTAATATCAGGATACAATGAGAATATCAGCCCAAATAACAACTTCACAGAAAATGGAAGAAATACTGGAAAGACGGACAAAGAGCTAGTTAAAAATTTACCACATGCTACACAGCAAAGGCAGCAATCAACAGAGAGAAAGGCAATGTATGGAATGGGAGAAAATATTTGCAAATATATATCTGATAAGGATCTAACATACAAAATATAGAAGGAACTCCTGCAACTCAGTAACAATAAAAACAACCCAATTAGAAAATGGACAAAAGATTTAAATAGACATCACAGTGACATTTATTTTAAGAACCACAAAATAAAGCAACCCATGTGCCCATCAAGGTATGATTGGATAAACAAAATGTGGCCTATACATCTAATGGAATATTATTCGGCCTTAAAAAGGAGGGAAATTCTGACCCACACTATGGCATGGATGAAACGAAGACATCACGTTAAATGAAGTAAACAGATCACAAAAGGATGATTCCACTTGTATCTAGAGTGGTCAAATTCATACTGACAGAGAGTAGAACTACGGTTGCCAGGGGTTGGGGGGAGAGAGAACAAGAAGTTAGTGTTTAATGACTATAGAGTTCCAGTTTTACAAAATGTAAAGAGCTCTGGAGCTGGATATAGTGATGGTTGCACAGAATTATGAATGTATTAAATGGAACTGTACACTAAAAAACAGTAAATTTTGTGTTATTTATATTTTGCCAGAATTAAAGAGAATAGTGCTAGACTAATAGGCAGACTAAACAAGGATTTGGGGCAAAATATGTTTTGCCAAAAATTTACCAAAAATATGTTTTGGAAAAAGATCTGATATTCAGTAAAAGCATCATAGGAAAAATATGATCTTCAATGGACTTTGTTGCATGTTCTTTAAGAGGTAGATTTGTTTTAATTTTGAATCATTTGACATGAGGGAAGGGGTATCATAATTTTTTATGCCCTTGGGTCCTCTAAAATTGCCCAATTTAGCAAATATTAATAAAAAACACAGGATGCCATGCAATATTTAGGAATACTTATAATGAAAACATGCCCACTGTGTTTATCTGAAATCCAGATCTAACTGAAGGCCTGTGTTTTATCTAGCAACCTGTCTGAGGGCCTGAATCCCGCCTTGCTGTGAGGGTTAGCAACCAGCTGGGCCCTCACAGCCAGAGCCAGGGCTGCTGTCTGACCTGCAGCCTGTGCCCTTCACCATCACAGGGAGAAATCTAAACTCAGGCTGCTCTACTCTGGGAGGGAAGTGGGTTTTCCCTCGAGGGGATCCTTTAGGAGAGACCTTGTGAACAGCTGTGACCCTGACAGCTCTGGGTGTGGGGCTGGGGAGCTCCAAGTCCAAGGCTGCCCTACAGCCTGGGGCTCTGTGCTGGTTTCAGTCCCGCCTCACCCAACATGGTGGGCCAGGATCCAGAACGTCGGAGCCCTCACCTCTTGCACAGCTGGTTCCACATAAACATGGACAGAAAGGCACCTGAGGCTTAGCAAGAAGTCCCTTGTCCACATGAATTGCAAGTGCGCCTTCTGAACCTGGTTGCTCAGGTGAGCGCCTGCAGTCATTTCTGGGGTCCGCAGTCCTCACAGTGCCCGCAGCTATGGAACAAGCTGCACTTCCACGACAGGTGGCTCTTTGTCTAGGAAATATCTTCATGCAGATATCTAGTTGGGAAGGAATTACACATTTCAAATACATCTGACTAGACGTATAGATCGCCACAAGGGTTCAGAAACATAAGCAAGGCATGGAAGAGGGACAGGGACCCGGAGCACAGTTGCCTTCCTTGTTTGTCACGTCAAAATCTCTCACAGACATGGGCGTTGGGAAAGCAGGCCGTTGCTAAGCCCTCTTGTGGAGTAAGCGCTTGAAAAA